TTTCTCTTTACCTTCCCTTCTCGCTGATGGACCCACCTTTCATCTGGACTCTCTCATTGACTTTTTGACAACAACTGACTGACTTCACAAACTCTGATGATACCTTCAGCCCTTTCTACCTCGATCTCTTGCTACCCTCTACCCTGCACTATCCCCTGCCCCGCTGTTTTCTGTAATCTACTGATTGCCCCTCCCCCCTTCTGCTGCCCAATACCCTCGCTTCCTTTCCTACCCTGCAGCGCTGTATAGCCCTTGTGGCTTAGCGCTTCTTTTTGATTATTATAATAATAATAATAATAATAATAATAATAATAATAATATAAATCTTTCTTCTTTCAACACACCGGCCGTATCCCACCGAGGCGGGGTGGCCCAAAATGAAAAATGAAAGCTTCTCCTTTTACATTTAGTAATATATACAGGAGAAGGGGTTACTAGCCCCTTGCTCCTGGCATTTTAGTCGCCTTTTACAACACGCATGGCTTACGGAGGAAGAATTCTGTTCCACTTCCCCATGGAGAGAACAGGAAATAAACAAGAACAAGAACTAGTATGAAAATAGAAGAAAACCCAGAGGGGTGTGTACATATATACAGTGGACCCCCGACATTCGATGGCATTGACATTCGATAAATCCGACATTCGATGCATTTTAACGCAAAAATTTTGCCTTGACATTCGATGGAAAACCCAACATTCGATAAGATTCATACGAGATGTGTCCACGTGTGGCCTGAACTCCCCCGTGTGTGCCAGTGTTTACAAGCCAGCCAGTGTGCGTGCATCTAAGGATACATTCGGTACATTCCATTTTTTTTTTTATTTATTAACACACTGGCCGATTCCCACCAAGGCAGGGTGGCCCAAAAAAGAAAAACTTTCACCATCATTCACTCCATCACTGTCTTGCCAGAAGGGTGCTTTACGCTACAGTTTTTAAACTGCAACATTAACACCCCTCCTTCAGAGTGCAGGCACTGTACTTCCCATCTCCAGGACTCAAGTCCGGCCTGCCGGTTTCCCTGAATCCCTTCATAAATGTTACTTTGCTCACACTCCAACAACACGTCAAGTATTAAAAACCATTTGTCTCCATTCACTCCTATCAAACACGCTCACTCCATATTATCCATATTATCACTGTTTTTGGTGCTTGTTTCTGCAAAATAAGTAACCATGGGCCCCAAGAAAGCTTCTAGTGTCAACCCTTCGAGAAAAAAGGTGCTAATGACTACTGAAATGAAGAAAGAGATAATTGCAGAGTACGAAAGTGGAGTGCGTGTGTCGGAGTGATGTGAGTGAATTTAAGGCCAGCAAAGGTTGGTTTGAAAGATTTAAGAATCGTAGTGGCATACACAGTGTGGTAAGGCATGGTGAGGCTGCCAGATCAAGTCCTAATGGAAGGGGATTCCCCTTCTAAACACTAACACCATCCACACACACCCCTCCTCCCATCCCATCAATCATCACCAGATCTTCATTAAAGGTAAATGTCAATTATTCTATTATTATTAATCTATTGTTGTTGTTGTTATTGTAATTATTCTATTGCATTAAACTTAATATTTCACGTGGTAAAATTTTTTTTTTCATACTTTTGGGTGTCTTGCATGGATTAGTTTGATTTCCATTATTTCTTATGGGGAAAATTAATTCGACTTTCGATATTTTCGACATTCGATGGCTCTCAGGAACGGATTAATATCAAATGTCGGGGGTCCACTGTATATATGCTTGTACATGTATGTGTAGTGTGACCTAAGTGTAAGAAGAAGTAGCAAGACGTACCCGAAATCTTGCATGTTTACGAAACAGAAAAATGTACACCAGCACTCTTACCATCATGTAAAACAATTACAGGCTTTCGTTTTACACTCGCTTGGCAGGACGGTAGTACCTCCCTGGGCGGTTGCTGTCTACCAACCTACTACCTAGGATCATATAAATATATACATATAATGATAATGGAAAAGATGAAAATGAATATTTAATATTATAAAGCTGATTATCCTCATTTTAGCTATTAACAATGATAATCACAATGTAGTATTAGATAGATGAACAAATATGAAAGTTATATTTTATAAAGTCGCGTCTCGGCGTAACAAAAAACTAAAAAATTATTTATCTGTTCTTTCGTAACCTTTCTTAGTTTTATATGTTGTTACTGTATCTCTTTCCTCCTGTTAGCCAGCATGGGCGTCTTTGCTGTCTTTTGTCTTTTATCATAATTCATATTTTTTAGCTTTGGGATTCATTTTGTAGCTCATATTTGGACCTTTTCTGTCTGACTCGTGTTTTTTATTAGGTATGGACACCACACATTATCTACACATCCCATTGTGACATAGTATACATTTCCACGTACAGTATTAAGCAGATTTTTTTATCATTTCTCCATCCACACATCTAAAAGTTATTTTATAGTTATCCAATGTAGCATTAGCATTTCTAACAGTTTAATTTATATGATCTGCTGATGATAATTTTTTATTAACCCCTTGACTGTCGCAACCCCAAATCCTGAGGTGTCTCCTGGTGTTTCTAAAATTAAAAAAAAAAAAATTACTTTCATGAAATGAGAGAGAATCTTTTTCCAATGGTAATGACACCAAAAGAACAAAATTAATGGAAAACTGATGGAATTATGCTCTCGCAAAGTTAGCGACCTCGGCGATATTTATGAATCGGTGATTTCGCCCACTTTGAGCCCTATTTTCAACTAATTCTGTTGTTCTCGTCGACCAAACTCATAGCTATTTCTTTAGAACTCCATTTTTACTATCGATTGACTACAAGAAACTGCCCATGTACCGATTTCAACTATCCAATAACATGGTCAGAAATTTGCAATTGGGCCAATTTCATGAAAATTAAAAAACATGACAATTTCAAAATAGGGTCCAGAATGAACAATGCAGACATTTCTGGCTCTAAAATAACATTTTCTTTGTTCATCAGTCACGTCTCCAGGCCGCTTTGATATTACACTTGCTTTCTATTTTGAATTTTTATTCAAACAAAAAATAGAAGATTTACTGTTATGCAGACTACTGCAATATTGTAATTGTATAAATAATGTCAACCCATTCATGACTGCATATTAGAATGGCTAGTTAGACATTTATTGGAAAATGACATCATTTGTTTACTTTTGAACATTGGCAAAAATCAAACATTTTCCCTAAGTTGAGCTCCATTTCCAAGTTCTTTTTATAGTAAAACCAATCAAAATCACCTCTATGTTTTCCATTCTATCCAATGAGACCAAGAAAACGAGAATACAACCATAAGTACTATACGAAAATAGACCACAAATTTGGCATTTTAATTAAAAAAAACTGTTGGAGTTTTTTTTCTCATTATGCACTGTGTGCTCCAGGATTTTATTTTTTACGGTGCACACTGACCACACAGACCCATTCTCTCACATGTGGGCCTACCAGCTTTCTCCTGCTTGATTTGAAGCCGCTAGAATTATTGAGTATATATACGTCTGAAACACTGGCTCGTAAGACGTATATGTACAGCCGAAACAGTCAAAGGGTTAATATTGCTCTTAAGCGTCCAACATTTAAAAAAAAACTGAAATGATAGAGAATCTTTTCCTGAAGGTAATGACACTCAAAATTACGAAATTTGATGGAAAACTTACGGAATTACACAGTTGCAAGGTTAGCGGTCTGGGGGCAGTTTACGCATCAGCAAGTTATGCCCAATTTCAGTTCTTTATTTAAACCGTTTCCATTGTTACATTCGGCCAAATTCTTAGCAATTTCACTAGATCTGCCTTTTGTTCTATCAATTAAGTACAAGAAACCACCCATTCAACTATTAGAACTACCCTATAAAATGCACAGAAGTCAGTAATTTAACCAATTTTACACAAAATTTAAAAAAAATTAAAAATGGCACAAAATAAACAATGTAGGCATTCCAGGCACTAAAACAACCTTTCTTCTGTTCCCTAATTTTGTCCCCAGGCCTCTCCTATATTGCACTTGCCTTCCATTCATAATCACACAAAAAAATCAAAGATTGGCCCTATTTCTCTTAATAAAATATAACCAGGAATGATTGGCCATGGTTTACAGCATCTCAGTAATTGAATAAGACAGTAAAATCCCATAAAAGAAATCAGGGGTGTAGGTGGCCTTACCTGTCCTCAGGATAATCAGCAAAAATCAAATATTTACATTACTTTGAGCCTAATTTCAAGCTGCTTCCAGTCCTGTAACAACTATCCAAAATCATCTCTCTTTTAGTAGTATATCTTCCATTTTATAAATTCTATCAGTAAACAGCCAATAAAACAGTAAGAGCCATCCTAGGAAACAGCTCAAAGTTGCTGTTTTAAAAATAAACACTGCATGGGGCATGATTTTTTTTTTTATGCTGTGTGCACTCCCCATACAGACCCATTCTCTCATATCTAGGCCAAAATTTACTGCTCACAGCTTACTTGAGGGAGCTGTGGTCACAGTGTAAATCTGCATAAGTGGCCCTACTCTGTGATGGGCCCAGTGTGACAGGCACTCAAAAAGTTTAGTTCCTAATTCTGCAATAATATTTCCATTCCAACCTAGGAAACCTGGTCTGAGACCAGGCTGTGGGTAGATAATCCCCAGAACCACTAACAGATAACAGATAGCAAATGGTTGCTTTTCCACTGACCTTGAGTAGGCAAGTTTGCTTTTGTAATTAAAGTTTTAAGTTTTAATTTGACTTTGGTAAAAGTATATTCCAAATAGGCTTGGAAACCACCTTGACTATCACTTAAGAATCACCATTAAGATACATCCAGTTTTACCAGAAAATATTAGGATACTTCAGGAAGCATTCAAGAGCCTCTTATTTTTTTTTTATCTTGTTCCCACGAATTAATGTTGACTTTTTTGTATTTTGAGCTTTGTTATAGATTAGAAATTTTGTTTAGATTTTTATTAATAATAATTTTTCTGGCCTTATGCATGTCTCAAATGGGATTAATTTTGTTACAGACCAAAGTAGAATGTTTCAGTTGGCCGAGATTCGTCATATGGTGAGAATCCCACCTTGGCTCTTTGGTCAAACTCTTAATGATGCTGTAGAAGAGGAACTTAATCGAAAGCTTGCAAACAAGGTAAACTCTCAGGATATGGTCTCCATCTCCTTGTTTTATGTAAAAAATCTTGTGTTGAATAATTGATGCATTTTAAAAAACAAATTTGTTTGAGGCATACGTAATAACTGAAAAAATCAAAGTAACAGTACTCCATAATTGGAAGGGGAGAAACATGGGGTTGCTTTTTTTTTTTTTTTTTTTAACCCATATCAAATATGAGAGGTATTTTAACAAAGCAATCTGAGAAATCGCCCAAAAGGCACCAAACATAAAACTCTGTGAACCAAATAAAAAAAATGTTTTTGTTTGTGCAAAGATGAAGCTTTCTTGTACAGTGTACGAGTATACAGTAGACACTCATGAGTCATTTGATCGTATCTTGTGTTTTCAATATTCTGTGATACAAATTTAGTTTTTCATTTCCCATAGAGGTGTGCCATTTCCATTAAGGTGTGCCAAAGCAGAATTCATTTCCATTAAAGAGTGGCACAGAAGGCAGGCAAGAGATACTTCCTCCCACTGCACATTGGGCAACTCTGTTGTCTTAGTGCTGCAGAGAAGGGTGTGAAGGAGGGTAAGGGGGGCTGTAAACAAATGACCTCCAATGTGGATCAGTGTATCTGGACATGATTATATGATTTTTCCCTTTGTCGTCTCTGGATATTTTTCATGGCATCCTAACAAAGTTCAGGTGATGCTGGTGAATCAAGGAAGAATAATAAGTGTAACTATAACTTCACTTCACCAACCACAACCATCAACCTCAGCCCAGTAGGGCCATAGCCACTCACTTTAGTGTGTCCTTATAACAAATATTGTAGACTGCTAGAATGGTATCCAAAAACTAGTACATTGTTCTAGTAGGGATAATTAAACGTACGGTGGTACCTTGACTTATGAGTTTTCCAAGTTACAAGCCGTCACTTGGTCGATTTTTTGCTTTGAGTTGCAAGCCAAAATCCAAGTTACAAGTGAGCTTCAGATACACCACCACTTGCAGGAGATACCAAGGAAATATCAAAAACCTCGATAATAACCATTGTGTAATGTCTTTTCAATTTTGATACCACTGGTAGTGTCATCCTGCCAGAATGTTCTATAATGTATGCCCTACGCAAAGAGAAACAATTCTGGAACGTGTAATACATGTTCAGCAGGCTGGCTGGTTGGGTGACTGGCTGGCTGATTTGCTTTGGCTGTTTCTATCTCCTATCTGTCTGTAATCTATCTGTCTCTGTCTTATCTGTGTGTCTATCTCTGTCTACCTCTGTCTATCTCTGTCTACCTCTGTCTATCTCTGCCTCTCTCTCTCTCACAGGTACACATAAATAGTTATACATAGTGTAAATTACCTAGGATAACCCAAAAAATCCAGACAAAGTGCTGTACCATGCTTGTAGATATAAGGCATAATAAGCATGACTGGCAAGAAACACATTTTCACTTATTCAGGAATCAGACGTGATGACTCTGCATCATGTTTAATACAGCATCCCAGCGTTTTGTGCTTTTTGTGCAGTTATTTTTGCCAACTTTCTTTTTTCTAACCATGGGTCCTAAGAAAGTAAGTACAAAGGACAGTGCTGAGAACAAGAGGATGATGATGTCCATTGAATTAAAGCATGAAATTATAGAAAAACACAAGTGAGGTGTGCGTGAGGTCGACTTGGCGAGGCAGTACGAGCGTAGTACTTCGTGCCTTGTAAATCAGCATTTATGCTGATTTACTTCTGAGATATTCACCTAAACATAGGCTGGTCTCCTGACTCTGGGGGGGGGGGGAATTCTGAGAAAATTGCTTATGTTTCAGTGTCTTCCTTATGAAACTAGTGATCTAGTGCAGTTAGCCTCACAAACACACTTGTTTTTTTTTTTTATAATAAGACCTCAGAAGGGCAAGAATGGGAAGATTTGGTCATGGCAATAATTATTTTTACCTTGGGAGTGGTCACCACCAATGGTCACATGACATACTGTATTTTATTTATTCTAGAGTATATATCATGTTTCTATGTTATTTATATTGTTTATTATGTCATATTAGATCAATTGTGATAGATTAATAAGCCATAGAGTTGATATTAGTGTTATTGGGGTTTTTTGGGGGCTGGAACGGATTAATGGCATTTCAGTTAATTTCAGTGAGGAAAATTGATTTGATATGAGCAAATTGAGTTACGAGCTCGGTCACAGGACGAATAAACTCACAAGTCAAGATACCACTGTATTATGACACTGAAGATGGCACCACTTATACAGGTAGATCACCACTAATCTGGCATCATCGGGACCTGTAGGGTGCCGGATTAGTGATTTTGCTGGCTTACAGAGTGGTTAGGTTAGAATACACTCAACCCAGGAGCAATGTTTACGCATCAGCAATTTCACCCACTTTACGCCCCATTTTTGGCCCATTCCATTGTTCCAGTCTGCCAAACTCATAGCCATTTCACTAGTGTTCCTTCCATTCTGCCTATTGAGTACAGGAAATGCCCATTTACCTATTTCAATTACCCAATAAAGTGGTCAGAATTTGGTAATTTGGCCAATTTCACACAAATTTCAAGAGATGCCAATTTAAAAATAGGGTCCAGAATAAACAGTGCAGACATTCCTGGCACTAAAATAACATTTTCTCTGTTTATTAGTCATGTCTTCAGGCTCTTCTTTTATTACGCTTGCTATGCATTTTGAATTTTTATTCACACAAAAAATAGATGATTTACTGGTATGCAGGTTACTGCATTATTGCAACTGTATAAATAATGTCAACCCATTCATGACCGTGTATTAGACTGGACAGTTGAACACGTATTGGACGGTGATGTCATTTGTTTACTTTTGAACATTGGCAAAAATTGAACATTTCCACTGCTTTGAGCTCAATTTCAAGGTACTTTCTGTCACGAAACCAATCAAAATCATATCTATTCCTGTAAAATATCTTCCATTGTATCAAATGAGACCAAAAAAATGAGAATAAAGCCTCTCACTTATCAATGGAGTTCCGTTTCTAAGACCATGTCAGTAAATGAATTTGGAATCACTCCTTACTTATTCTTCAAAAATGTCACCACCTGAAATTAAAACATCCAGTTTTATGTTTGCTGTGAAAATCCTTTCAATCCGCTCATTATTAACATGATACAACGTGAAATAGGTCAGTAGCTTACTTCCGAGATATTCCAGGAAATGTATGCATAGCTGGTTACTTGGGAAAAACAAAATATTCGAGAAAATCACACTTTTTTCAGTCTTTGCATAGGATAAGAGTGAGCTTCTATAATTACCCTTCAGGCTCACAATGTTTTCTGTAATGGTCTCGGTCACTCTAGGTACATTCCCCTCTTTCATACATTTATTAAACAAAAATATCAACCACTCCAATACTATATCATCCCCTTGCTTTTAACATTTCTGTCATGATCCCCCTCAGTTCCAGCTCCTTTACCCCCTTTCATTCACGTAATGCCTCATGCACCTCCCCCACACTCACATCCTGCTCTTCTTCACTCCTAAAAGATATACCTCCCTGACCAGCGAATGAAATTACCACCTCCCTTACTTCATCGGCATTTAAAAGTTCCTCAAAATATTCCTGCCATCTACCCAATACCTCCAGCTCCCCATCTGCTAACTCCCCTACTCTGTTTTTAACTGACAAATCCATTTGTTCCCTAGGCTTTCTTAACTTGTTTATCTCACTCCCAAATTTTTTATTATTTTCATCAAAATTTCTTAACAGTGCCTCTCCCACTCTATCATCTGCTCTCCTTTTGCACTTTCTCACCACTCTCTTCACCTTTCTTTTACTTTCCATATACTCTGCTCTTCTTATAACACTTCTGCTTTGTAAAAACTTCTCATAAGCTAACTTTATCTCTTTTATCACACCCTTTACTTCATCATTCCACCAGTCACTCATCTTTCCTCCTGCACCCCCTCCCCTCTTATAGCCAAAAACTCCTGCTCCACATTCTAATACCGCATTTTTAAAACTATTCCAACCCTCTTCAAACCCCCCCCCCCCACTGCTCATACTTGTACTAGCCCACCTTTCTGCCAATAGTTGCTTATATCACACCCTAACTTTCTCCTCCCTTAGTTTATACACTTTCACGTATCTCTTACTTCTTGTTGCCATTTTCCTTTTGTCCCATCTACCTCTTACTCTAACTGTAGCCACAACTAAATAATGATCCAATATATCAGTTGTCCCTCTATTAACATGTACATCCTGAAGCCTACCCATCAACGCTTTTATCCACCAATACATAATCTAACAAACTACTTTTGTTACGTGCTATATCATACCTTGTATACTTATCCTCTTTTTCATAAAATATGTATTACTTATTACCAAACCTCTTTCTACACATAGCTCAATTAAAAGCTCCCCATTTTCATTTACCCCTGGCACCCCAAATTTACCTACTATTCCCTCCACAACATTTTTACCCACTTTAGCATTGAAATCCCCAACCACAAGTACTCTCAAACTTGGTTCAAAACTCCCCACGTACTAGCTCAACATTTCCCAAAATCTCTCTCTCTCTCCTCTACATTTCTCTCTTCTCCAGGTGCATAAATGCTTACTATAACCCACTTTTCACATCCAACCCTTATTTTACTCCACATAATCCTTGAATTAATGCATTTATTCCTTCTTTTCCTGCCATAACCTATCCTTTAACATTATTGCTACTCCTTCTTTAGCTCTAGCTCTATTATTATTATTAATTATTATTATCATTATTAATTATTATTATTAATTATTACCATCGACATACCTTGTTCGGCCCTTCTAGGGTAGGGTAGGTGCCTGAGCCCGAGCTTTCAGCTCACAAGACTGTCATTCCCATTCCCTTGGGGTGGGGATGGCAGACCAAAGAGGCCTAGCTTCTCTCTACGAGCCCTGTGAGGACGGGGAATGTGGCTAGGCCTGGGGACAGTTGGTCCCAAAGATGAGGGGGTATTTGTGCCTCCTCCCATGGGAGACTTAGGTCTCAGGCACTCCCAAGACAGGGAGCCAATTGCTGGGCCACCACCTGGAAGAGGTCTGGGCTGGGAGAATACCGGCGAATCTTAGTTTAATCATTTCTTAATTAAGCTTCCACGAGACAGGGAATGTTAGCACACAGACGAACACACCAGCTAACCCCTTTACTGTGAACTTCTTTCGTACTTCCATTTTCTTCTTCCAAGTGCTGCTGCACTTCTATCTTGTGCTATGGAGTGGACAATAAAGTACAAATTTATAGTCTTAGAGACTTTGAAAGCTAGTGTACTGAGTGGCTGTAGGAAGGAGATTGAGATACTTGACGTTGAGGTGCTGCACTGCCCATTTCCATGACCCAAGTTCTCATACAGCATACAATACCGACTCATCAGGGAGAGCCGTCATAACTGAGTTGTCGGTAAACGAGTATGTCAGTAAGTGAGGAGAGGCTGTACGATCATAAAACCATATGAATATACACTGCAGTGTCGCTGTTTTACAAAATAAACATGGTCCCAATTTATTCTCATTATGCACTGTGTGCTGCAGGATTTTTTTTATATAGTGCACACTTACCACACAGACCTATTCTCTCATGTAGGCCCAAATTTACTGGTCACAGCTTATCTGAGTTGAGCTGAGCTCATGGCGACCAACAGTGGCTTCATAGCCACCTTATCTTTCATGGACAATGTATGGTGTGTGTGTTTTACATAACGAGAATCATTTCTTTTATTTGTTGGAAGCATGGCTAGGGCTAAAAGTGAGCAGGTTATAACAGTAAATGAAAAGCAAATTGGAATGATTTATGGAGCAAGTAGCACCACCAGACAGTAGCAGCAGGTTGGTGTGGCGCCCCAGAAATTTGAAATTAAGCTAGCCAAAATTAGTGCAGGATTTTTGATGGAACCAGATTACTGATTCCTGGATTAGTGATGGTCGACGTGTACATACCTGAATAAGTTATTACACAAGAGTTCATGCATACAAATATACACACACCTTTTGGTTGGTCTATAAATGTGTAATTTAGATTACAGTATTTCCAAAGTGAGTAAGATAAGATAAATATGTTTCGTGGTTTGTAAATCATTCTTAACACAGTGATTTAATAATTGTCAAATTAAAAACTTCACTCTCTTTAGTAAATACTGTCTTCATAATGAATAAATATATATACGTACAGTATAATGATTTATCACTAAATTGTTAGACATTTCAAGCACTTGTGACATGTATGTAGCGTTGCTATATTGTATTGTTTTGGAAAATTATTAGTCAATTTGAAATAATGATACATAATAAAGATATATCATGATGAAAATTATTTTATTTTTTTTTTTTATTATCACACTGGCCGATTCCCACCAAGGCAGGGTGGCCCGAAAAAGAAAAACTTTCACCATTATTTCATTGATATCATACTTCATATCAGTTTAGAAAACTGACATGATAATTGGGACACTTATGCAACATTTGGGCATCTTTATTTATCATCACTATACTTCAGGTTTGTAGATTAAGAATAACTGGTTGTGTTACAGGTAGTGCTGAATGTTGGCTTGTGTATAGCACTGTTTGACATTACATCTCTGGGAGACTCTTACATCTTCCCAGGAGATGGAGCCTCTCACACCAGAGTAACCTTCAGATATGTTGTCTTTAGACCTTTTCTGGAAGAAATTCTGGAGGGAGTTGTCAAGTCTTCAGATGCTGATGGAATGCAAGGTGGGTAGTCACTCTTCATGGAATACTTTATCTATAATAACAGTATTATATTTATATGCTAAGATCATGCTGTATATAATTTATCATGTGGTAGCAGGATGTAAGCAGTTATTTATAATGTGGGGGCAGGCCATAAGCAGTCATTTATCATGAGGTGACAGTCTGTAAGCAATCCTCATGTGGTGGCAGGCTGCAAACAAGCTGCAGGTTTTCTTGAGATTTTCTTTGAGTAAAATGGCATGGTCCTGGCACCTCTACTGTTTCTTATTTCTTATAAAGTGGACCCCCAGTTATCAGCCGGTTCTGTTATTGGCCAACTCGGTGATCGGCCGTTTTTTCAGCGCCCGGTTATCGGTCGTTCAACTGGGGCCGCTGGCTGACTCTTGGTGGCTGAGGAAGCTTCTGCTTATACATCCAAACATTTTACTCATTTCCCATTGTAGTTTGTGTTATTTTTCCAGTGCAACTGTGAAATAAGTAAGTTCCTGTGGTAAAGAAAGTGAGAAACACCATGGAATTTAAGCGTTAAGTGATAGAAAAGTTTGAGAGTGGTATGAGGGTGGTGGAACTTGCCAGGATGTACAGGAAAAATAAATCAAGAATTACATCCATCCTGGCAAAGAAAGAGCAAATCAAAGATGCTAATGTTGCAAAAGGAGTAACTTTTCTAACTAAACAAAGGTCACCAATAATGGAAGAGATGGAAAAGTTATTATTATTGTCGATTAAGGAAAAAGAATTAATGGGAGATGGTGTTGTGGAGTCGATTATTTGTGAGAAGGCAAGGCAGTTGCATGAGGATCTTGCAAAGAAAATACCTGGAACAAGTGCTGCAGTTTGTGAATTTAGGGCCAGCAAAGGATGGCTTGATAGATTTAAGAAGCATAGCGGCATACACAGTGTTGTAAGGCATGGTGAGGCTGCAAGTTCTGACAAATGTGCGGCTGAAAAATTCATGCAGGAATTCCAGGGATACATAGAGGCTGAAGGATTCAAACTCCAGCAAGTGTTCAGTTGTGACAAAACAGGCCTGTTTTGGAAGAAAATGCCAAACAGGACCTACATTACCCAGGAGGAAAAGGCACTGCCAGGACACAAGCCTATGAAAGACAGGTTTACTCTTTTGTTGTGTGGTAATGCTAGTGGGGATTTCAAAGTGAAGCCTTTACTCATGTATCACTCAGAAAATCCCAGTGTTCAAGAAAAAACAGTGTCATGAAGAATAGATTGTGTGTGATGTGGAAAGCTAATCATAAGGCATGGGTCACAAGGCAAATTTTCAAAGAGTGGGTTGATGATGTGTTTGGCTCAAGTGTGAAAAAATACCTCCTGGAAAAGAAATTGCCACTCAAGTGTCTCCTGGTACTGGACAATGTCCCTGCACCTCCTCCAGACTTGTAAGATCAAGTGTTTAGGGACTTCAATTTTATAAAAGTGAGGTTCTTGCCTCCTAACACCACTCCTCTCCTCCAGCCCATGGACCAGCAGTCTGTTTCTAACTTCAAAAAACTACTCAAAAGCAGTGTTTCAAAAGTGCTTTGAAGTGACCTCGGACACTCAGTTCTGGAGGAATCGCTTTACTATCCTCCATTGCATAAACCTTATAGGTAAGGCTTGGGAGGGAGTGACTTCCAGGACTTTGAACTCTGCTTGGAGAAAACTGTGGCCAGATTGTGTCCAAATTAGGGATTTTGAAGAGTTTGAGGCTGACCCTGACCCTGTTGACCCTGTGGACTCTATTGTGGCCCTGGGGAAGTAGGTGAGTGGCGAGGATGTGGAAGAGTTGGAGGACAACCACAGGGAAGAGCTAACCATGGAAGAGCTGCAAGAGCTTCAACCCGAACAGCAACAGACTGCAGCTAAGGAACTTGCTTCAGAGGAGGAGGAAGAGGGAGTGAAGGAGGTGCCTTCTTCATTGATTAAGAACATTTGTGCAAAGTGGAATGATGTGCAAAGTTTTATCGAGAAGTACCACCCTGACAAAGCTGAAACAAGCCATATCTGCAACATGTTTAGTGACAAAACCCTGTCCCACTTCAGGGAAATCTTAGAGATGCCAGAAACAGAGCACTCTGGACAGTTTTGTGAGACAGGGGGCCAGTGACTCTCAAGCTGGTGCTAGTGGCATTAAAAGACAAAGACAAGGGAAGTAACCCCAGAGAAGGCTTTGCTACCTAAAGTCTTTATGGAAGGGGATTCCCCTTCCAAACACTAACTCCTCCCTATCTTCCAGAAGCCAGCATTAGCCTTCAATAAAGGTACGTAATGTTTATATAATTGTTAAAAAAAATTATTTTTTTGTGAATATTTTTGTCTGGAACAGATAAATTGTATTTACCTTAATTCTTATGGGAAATATTATTTCGGTTTTCGGCCGACCTTCTGGAACAGATTACGGCTGATAACCGAGGGTCCACTGTATTTATAACTGACTGAGATGAAAACCCTTGTCATGATTTGTACAGTAAACCCTCGATATAATGGACTAGTATGGGTATTTTATCATTGTCTGTTATATCAGAATACGTACTGTTAAAAAATTCATGAAGTGCACTAAAGTACTTCATACCTAATAAAAATAACTGTACAGTACACACAATTTGCAGGTATATTACAATAAACATTGAAAATAAAGGAGTTTAAAAGTACAGTTTACCCAGTGGGTCTTGCCTATAATTTTATAAGTTTGTTATATATTATCTATTATGTTGAGTTTTTACTGTATCATCATTTGTGGATAACATCAAAATAAGCATGAAAGTCACCTCAGTAGAAGACACACAAACATTGCAGGAAGGTATAACTAGGGTTTTCCAGTGGGCAGTAGAGAACATGAAATTCAGTGGTGATAAATTCCGGCTGTTTAAATATGGAAAGAATGAAAAACTCAAAAGGGACACTGGATACAAAACTCAAGAGGATCATCAAATAGAACAAAAGGAACATGTGAAAAACCTGGGAGTAATTATGTCAGCTGACCTTCCTTTCAAAGAGCACAATAAGGCAAATGTCACAACAGCCAGGAAACTGATGGGGTGAATATGAGAACTTTCAAATGAGGGAAATTGTGCCAATGGTGCCACTTCAAATCTCTTGTGCTCTCTCATTTAGAATATTAGTCAGTGTTCATAGCTCTCTTCAGGGTGGGAGAAATATTATAACTGAAACAGATAGATCATTTACAGCCCACATAGAGCCAGTAAAGCATTTATATTACTGGAAATGTGTGTCCAAAGTATATACACCCTGGAGAGAGATATACAGTGGACCCTTAGTTGTCATGAGTTTCAGTTTTCACGAATTTTGGTTATCGGCAACTTTTTTCGTCAAAATATAGCCTTGGTTTTTTGTGATTTCCCTTGGATTTTGGCGGTCGTACGGTACATGTCCCAGTGGCCCCACACACACACAGCCTCCCACAGATGCATTCAAGAGTCAATCTGGCATTGTTTCTTGGCGAGTGAGCATCACCCACTGCATTCACATGAAATATTTCATAATAATCCATTGTTTTTTGTGCTTGCAACTGCTAAATAAGCCACCATGGGCCCAGAGAAAGCTTCTAGTGCCAGCCCTTTGGTAAAGAAGGTGAGAAACATGATAGAATTAAAGAAAGAAATAGAAAAATATGAAAGTGGCGTATGTGTGGTCGAGCTTGCCAGGATGTACGGAAAGCCCCATTCAACGATAACTTCCATCGTGGGGAAGAAAAAGGAAATCAAGGAAGCTGATATTGTGAAAGGGGTAAATGTGCTAACAAAACAGAGATCACAGGCAATCGAAGATGTGGAGAAATTGTTGTTGGTGTGGCTCAACCAAGAGCCATCAGCAGGAGATAGTATTGTGCAGTCGATAATTTGCGAAAAGGCAAGGCAGTTGCATAAGATAAGATAAGATTTCATTCAGATTTTTAACCCTGGAGGGTTAGCCACCCAGGATAACCCAAGAAAGTCAGTGCATCATTGAGGACTGTCTAACTTATTTCCATTGGGGTCCTCAATCTTGTCCCCCAGGATGCGACCCACACCAGTCGACTAACACCCAGGTACCTATTTGCTGCTAGGTGAACAGGACAACAGGTGTAAGGAAACATGTCGAAATGTTTCCACCCGCCGGAAATCGAACCTGGGCCCTCTGAGTGTGAAGCGGGAGCTTTAGCCACCAGGCCACTGGGCCACCTATCTCATGCCTATCTCGTAAAAAAAATGCCTGGAACGAGTGCTGATGTTAGTGAATTTAAGGCCAGCAAAGGCTGGTTCGAAAATTTCAAGAAGAGAAGCGGCATACACAATGTTGTAAGGCATGATGAGGCTGCAAGTTCAGACAAACATGCGGCTGAAAAATTTGTGAATGAATTCAAGGAGTACGTAGAGGCTGAAGGATTCCTTCCCCAACAAGTGTTCATTTGTGACGACACAGGCCTCGTTTGGAAGAAAATGCCAAAGAGGACCTACATCACGCAGGAGGAAAAGGCACTGCCAGGACACAAGCCTATGAAAGACAGGCTTACTCTCTTGTTCTGTGGTAATGCTAGTGGGGATTTCAAAGTGAAGCCTTTACTGGTGTATCACTCTGAAAATCCCAGTGTTCAATATCCTCAGTTGCATAACCCTTATAGATAAGGCTTGGCAGGGAGTGACTTCCAGGACGATGAACTCTTCTTGGAGAAAATTGTGGCCAGAATGTGTCCAAGAGAAGGATTTTGAAGGGTTTGGGGCTGACCCTGTCGACCCTATGCCTGTTGTGGAATGTATTGTGGCATTGGGGAATTCTATGGGCTTGGATGTGAGTGGCCAGGATGTGGAAGAATTGTTGGAGGACCACAGTGAAGAGCTAACCACTGAAAAGCTGTAAGAGCTTCATCTGCAACAGCAACAGACCACAGCTGAGGAAATTGCTTCACAGTAGGAGGAAGAGAGAGGATAGAAGGTGCCTTCGTCAAAGATTAAGGACATTTGTTCAAAGTGGAGCGAGATGCAAACATTTATGGAGGAACATCA